AAGCCTTTCTGGAAAAGTCCATCGCCTCGGTCTGGTTGAGCACAGCCACTAGCATCTATGTAGTTGCCACCCCTGGAAAGGAGGGCACTTGGCTGGTACCTGGGGCTCCGAAGGCCCGGCGGTCCTGCTGGCTCCACACAAAAGGGTCGGGGAGCAGGCTGCCCTCAGCAGAGCTTCGAGAGGGTGCCGTCACAGCACTAATGAACAAAGCCTCACGAGGTGGCCCAACCCCTCAGACCTAATTAAAGTGTTGACCAACTGCAGGCCTGGGTCACCTTCCCCAAACACTCCTTCTCGCTTGCACTCTTCTTTCTTAAAGGGAAGGGGGACTTGAGAGTTGCCCATCGCTTTCTGAACTTTCTCTTGGCCCTCGCGTTCCCACCAACGACAGCCATCCTGGGTTTCTTGGTCATGCCTCCGGGACACACACAAAACTGGCCCCCCCGTTCCCGTCCACTGGCCCAGGAAGGCAGGACGGAGAGACCCGTGGGTGTGAGGTGTTGCCTCTGGGCCTGGGGAAACCGAACCATCTCTTTCAGGAAGGTGGAAGGCAGGCCGCTCTGGCAGGAGCCGCACCCCCATACCTGGGGCGGCAGGGCGGAGGCCTTGTCACCGGAGAGCCCAGAGGAAATGCCCGGGAGGTGGTGACGGCACGTGGGAAGCTCTGGGCAGCCTCTGGAACAGCTGCACGAACATGAGACACCATCTGGGGCATCTGTGGATTCCTGCCCCCGAACAGCACTAACCCCGCGCACATGGAGAACGTCACAGAGCTCCAAGATCCTATGCTCAGGGCGGGGACAATCCTGACCAGAGTGTCAAGGGGGCGAGCACAGCCAATGACGAATCATGAACGGAATCTCTGCCAGAACATGCTGTGCCAAAAAACACAGCCTTGAAGAAGCCAACTGTAACCCGTACGTGTTAACAAACCGCCTGCCGGGCGGTTTGTTGGGCACCACTGGTAAGAGGCGGGCCTGACCCAGGAGCGGGGGCCGCAGCCGTGAACAAGGCCAGTGGGCACTGGCCTTCCAGGAACCCCCGTCCAGAGGGGCAAAGCTCCTCCTAAGCTTATAGACCAAAAAGAGGTCACTGGAGGCCTGAGAAGTTCTTCGATGAACAGAACACGTGAGACCCCGGGTTCTACGCTGCTCGGGATCCTAAGCCACCACTGCCTTTCTTCCACGTTTGTGGCCATTCGCCCGTACGGTCATTTCTCGTTTAATCTGTTTTCTCCATGAGTCCGTAAGCTCCACTGCTACTCACCATCTCCCCAGCACAGAGTGCAGTCCTGACCCCTAGAGAGCCCTCAATACCTTACTTGGGGAATGAATGAACCAGTTAGACAAAACCGGACCCGTAGTCTCTTACTCCGCAGATCTAACTAAACTTTAGGCGTAGAAAGGCACCAACATGTAAATGATGAGAATTATCCTTCCATGGCGGGAAAACGTGGGCAAATTTTCAAAACATTCGATTTCTCTGATTTCTCAAGTTTCCTTTACTGGACATAAATTACTTGTGTAATTTGTAATTATAGACATTATACCGTCATTACTGTGGAAATATTACAGCATTACTATCCCAAGAAGAAAGGGAATAACGTAATTTAGGGACTGGCTGGATAAAGCGTGCCCCACAGCTCCGGCCTGAGGCAGCCTTATCCAGAAGCCTCCTCACCTCTCCTCTTCCTCCTATCTGGTCAGGATTAATTCCCACAAGCTACAGCCACCTCCCCTCACCTCCAGCTCACCTAGCGTCTCCCCTTCTCTCTCTCTGCATCCCTGGGATGGATCTGAACCGCCAACCGAACACTCCCAGGGTAGAGGGCGGATGGGCACAGCCGTGTTTTGATGACAAGTGGAACATCCGGTGCACACTGGCTCGGTGGGGCTATGCTGGCAGACAGGAAGGGCAGACCTGTGGGATGGCTCTGAGGTTGGCCATGCCAAGTAAGAAAACCATTTTCTTTTACCAATTAGAAGGGAGGTTTGCCAATTTGAACTTATTCGACGGAACACTAGTCGAGATTTCCATTCCCCTAACGCAGTAACGGATTATGCATAAAAGATCATTTCAGTTGGTGATGTTGTGCTATGTTTAGTCAAACTCTTTTTCAGGCAATTTTAGCAAATCTGTCTGTCCTGTTTGACCTTTTCCTTCATCTTGTGTGTATGTTTTGTGGTTTTTTGTTTCATTTTTTGTTTGTTTGGACTTTTTTCCCCGTGTGCAGTGGGGATTCTCACCTTTCCTCAAGGAGGACGAGGGAGAAGAGCAGATCGCTCCTGTGTGGCTGCTTGGTTGAGGGGCTTCCAAGTGCCCCTCCTCCTGCTTCCTTGGACCAAGGCTGCAGCCCTGCCCTGGAAGCCCAAGGGGCTTGGTGTTCAGCTTGAGGAAATTCCCTTCTGGCTCCTTGTCCACCACGTCTGGTTCAGCTGTCCAGCCCACCCTCGTCCCCTCCCCACGGGATTCTCCTCCGGCTCATCCTGCAGACCAACAGCTTGTTGGGCTATGTTTTTCATTTTTCTTCTGATCCCACAGGCTTCTCGTCTCCCCAGGTCAAGTAGAGACGCAGTACCCCAGGCTCCTGAGGTGAAAGACATTGCACTGTCTGGGGGCCCAGAACACAAGAGGGTGATGCATTTCATAACTGACCACAGATCCTCAGAACCACACTGATGTACATGTTCATCCTCAGAAATAGCTTGTGGTGTTTTCAAATGCCACAAAGGCTTTTTGTGAATGTGGAAGACCATCAGTGGTCACGAAACCATCAGACCGCAAGGCAACATGCTGTGTGAAAAAAGGGAGGGGAAATGCCCCCCCCTGCCCCACGGAGCTCAGCCAGCCAACCACCTCATCTGCTAGAAGCTATGAGCTCCATTTGATGAAGTTTTAAGGGACACATGCAGACAACAATATGTTCACAAGCACCAAGAGGATGAGGACCAAGGAAACATTTCAGTACTCCACATTGATCCATTTAGTTGCTCAGAGGTCTTCAACGATCAATCAAGAGCTTTAAAAAACAAAAAACAAGCAAACATCCCCAAGTTGACAATGAGATCACAAATAGAGGTGAGTTCCTGCTTATCTCTTGAGCAACACAATGACTTTGAGGCCCAGGTGATGCTGACCGCTGGACTTCATCTCTGCTCATGGGAGGCCTCTGTTATCGTTAGCACCAGTTTGACCTCACCTGCTGTGTCCTGAGGCTGCTCCAGGAACGCAGACACTGAGCTCCCTATCAGTGATTTTCACTATGAGACCACAGCTGACAACACAGCTTCCTGCCTCATGTGTTTAAGGACATTCCAGTCTGGAGTCACCCAAGTTGTCCTGGAATCAGGCTGTGTTACCCATCAGCCAAAACCTCTCCCCTCCAGGTAAGGACTGCCATTTTTGAGTGCCCACATGCACTTGGAGCAGCAGCTCACAGCCCTCGCGTGACCAGCAGGTCAAAGTCACCAGATGTTCTTGTCTCTTTGGGTATTTCCTCATCGCAAACACTAGGGGGGGGCCGGGAAGTGTCTTCTCCAAAGCTTAGTGTGGTTTAAGTTTCTGATCGCCTGCTTTGCCCAAACCAGCCACACGAAGTAAAGACTATCCAAGGAACAGCCAGAGGACCTACATTAAAACAACTACAAAACTAACTGAAGTGCAACCATCATTGTGATTCTAACAGCCAATACTGCTCACTATACAACTTTTCAATGATTATGTTTCACTATTTTCCTAATAAAATACCAAAAAAAAAAACAACAACTTAAAACTAAAGGAAGCACAACCCAGAACACTTGTAAGAGAAGCAGAAAACCTGTTTCCCAAAAGAGGTTTCTCAGATCCCTTTAATCAAAAGAAGGCCGAGTCCCACCACTGAGACAATTAATTTTTAGCCTAGGTGATGAGTAATTTATGAATACAGCTGTCACAGAAGGGAAAGTTCAAGCACACTTGGATGGTGGAGCCAGCTGAAAGCAGAAAACCCCTCAGCGCAGTTTCCTTATTAGCACCAACACGCAGGCCGCATTAGGCAGATGGCAGGGGAAGCTTTCTGTTACAGAGACCACAAGGGTTAGTAGGGGCAGAAGGGCAGTGAGCTGATTACAGCCTGATCCTCTGCCCTCAAAGAGCCCTGACCCATTTTCTCTGTGGAAAGAAACGGTAAAGACAAGCAGAGGGGCAGAGGCCAGCCAACACAAGCAGCTTCAGTAAATGCTCTTTTTTTTTTCTGGAGGGGGCAGCCAGTGGAAGGCCAGAAGAGTGACAAGAATAGAAGATGCTACGTGCCAGGACAGGGGAGACGTCAACCACACACACACACACACACGCTTTCCTTACACAAAAATAAAATCCAGGCCTCCCCCTAGAACATCCCCCAGCCGAGGTTCCGAATAGCATGGACTCTTTAGCGCAAGTCCCAAGCAGCCACACCACAGACAATCCCAAATCCACAGGTGTTTCAGGAAAGATCACGGGGTGGGGCAACATAAGGTAAAGAGAACGGGCCGTGGCCCGAAGATGGCCCGGGATGAACAAACCGTCCCCTTACGGGAGGGAGGGAGAAACAAGGTCTGGGCTATCCCCGCCGGGCTGAGCCCGGAACTTCGCTTCTTATAGTCAGTGGCCTCTCGGACAATCCTGGCAGAAACTCCACGACCTGTCCTCCTGTGCCTAAATGATTCAAGGGCTGTTCTGAGACTCCTATATGGTGGGCTCCTTTTCGGGGGTCCTGGAACCGGTGTTTGGGGATCTGTCTTTCCAACTGACCACCAGAGGCAGCCAGGGTTCCAGGGTCAGTTTCAGCAGCGGACCGAGAGGTGCCTCCCCGGCCCTCTGGCCAAGGGCAAGGGCTCGGACCGGGTCTGGGGGAGACCCGGGATGGGCGGGGACGGTGAGGGCAACAGGTGACAAGCCGCGTCGGGAGGGAAGTTCTCCGCTCCGAGGCCGACAGCGGCCCAGGCGCCCCCGAGGCCCGGCCGGCCCCCCGCGGCACTTACGCGCTCGTGGGTCCACTGTTTGGCAGAAGCGAAACTTTCTGGGGCCCAGCGGAAGAGTGCGGTAGCGCGGCGCAGCCCGCCATGATACGCAGAGCCGCCGCAGGCGGGCGCGGACTACAACTCCCGGCACGCTCCGCAGGCCAACGCCTACAAGTCCCGTCGGACCCCACGGCAGAGGGGCGTGGACTAGGACTCCCGGCTCGCGGCGCGCGCTGAGGTTTGCGTCTCCTGGCGCCGCTGTGCCACCCGCCCTGGGCTAAGCCTCTCAGTCCCCGCAGGCTCGGTGTGTCCCCGAGTCATCGGTGTGGCACCTTGAAAGCAGCGCCGTCACCGTGTGGCTTTTGAGAACTTGCAGTGTGGCTAGTTTGAGCTGAACAGTACACGGGCTGTAAGTGCAAAATACACCTGACTTCCAAAGACTTCGTATGAAAACAATACCGTGAAGTAGCTTCTTACTACTTTTATACTGATTGCATGTTGAAAAGATAATACTTTTGGTAGGTTGGGCGGGCTAAATGAAAAAGCATGTGTCGCTGGGCTTCCCGGATCCCCCTCACTTCTAAACCCAGGGACCTATTTGAACTCAGTGCTCAAAAACTATGTGTTAATGAATGAACTACCACTCCTGACTTCTGCCCCGCTCTCGGCCCGATTTCTATTTGTAAGTTCTATTCTCTGTTTCTAAGTTGCAAGGCATTCTGAGGCTGGACTCAAGAGAGTGCATTCATTCATGATGTCTACTATGGATCCAAGGCAGGAGAGCAACCGCACCCGGGGTACTTCAGCCTGTGATGGAAGCCTGGGCTCTGCCATTCCTTAGTTCTGGCTGCAGCATCCTTTCCTCTGCCCTAGCTCCCACCATTTAATCGAGAAACACCGTTTTACCTCGCAGGACTTAGCTGCTGGTGTCCAGCCAAGCGCCACGGCCCCAGCCATTGGCTGGGTGGGATAATACGGGAAAGGAAATAGATTTCCTACTTAAGGTTGGGGTATGTAATGTCATCAGCCATCTTTTATAAATTAATGAGGGACAGACAAATCAGTGATGAGATGGATGGAACAGTCAATCTGTGGGGGGTGTGGGGAAGTGATTTCCATTCTTCCTGTTAAAAACTACGAAAGGAAGAGGGAACAGGGGGACGATGGCAAAGGGAAAATCGTTGTGCCAACCGCAGTCTGAATGGTTTTGTGACATACTGAGGGTGGGAGAGATTTTAATGTCGGATTTTAGTGCCACTTTCTCAGGACTGTGAGCTCACATCCTCAGGACTGTGACCCCACGTGACTGGGGCTGTGACCCCGCATGTTGAGAGCTATGGCCCCAGTGAATGGGTCATGACCCCATGTGCCAGAAGCCTTGCCCCCATGTCCCTGGGGTCATGACCTTACAGGCTTGCAGCCATGCCCCTACTTGATCAGGACTGTGAGCTCACGTCCTCAGGGCTGTGACACCTTGTGCTCAGGTGCATCACCCTGTGTCCTCTGAGCTGTGGCCCACTGCGCTCCTTGGAGCTATGACCTCTTGCCTCAGGCAGCGATCCCACGTGTTCGGGGCTATGAATGTTAGAGTGGACCTCTCTGAGCTCTGATGCCCTCCTTGGTCTAAGTGGGAAACAGAAATGTCACAGGGTGGCTGTGAGATGTGCACATGTATGGGCCTGGCACAGAGCAGATCTCAGTACAAAGTCAGTTTCCAGTCTCCTGTGGGTGTCTTCAGTCAGGAGTCGTGTTCTGTGTGGTCAAGGTAGACACTAAAAGCCCATGAGGGGCTCTGAGATGCACTAGGATTCCCTTCACACCCACTGAAATGGCGCCCCGTGTTGGTCTGCTCATGGTGTGCCGTAACAAAGTCCCACCAGCTAGGTGGCTTAAACAGGTCTCCAGGGGGCGCCTGGGTGGCGCAGTCGGTTGAGCGTCCGACTTCAGCCAGGTCGCGATCTCGCGGTCTGTGAGTTCGAGCCCCGCGTCGGGCTCTGGGCTGATGGCTCAGAGCCTGGAGCCTGTTTCCGATTCTGTGTCTCCCTCTCTCTCTGCCCCTTGCCCATTCATGCTCTGTCTCTCTCTGTCCCAAAAATAAATAAACGTTGAAAAAAAAAAAAAAATTAAAACAGGTCTCCAGGCTAGAAGTCTACGATCAGGGTGTCTGCTGTGTTGGCTCCTTCTGTGGCTGTGAGGGAACACCCATCCCATGCCTTTCTCTTAACCTCTGGTGGTTGCTGGCAATCTCTGGTGTTCTTGACTTGTGATAGCGTAAGTCCAGCCTTCACCTGGCATTCTCCCTTGGTCTGGGTCTCTGTCCAAATTTCCCGTTTTTATAGGGACACCGGTCATATTGGATTACAGGCCTGCCCTCACCCCTGTGACCTCATTGTAACTAATTACATATGCAGTGACCCTCTTTCCAGACAAGGTCACATTCAGAGGCACCGGGAATCAGGACATGAACACAAGGGTTTCTTGGGGAGTAGGAGAAGGACACAGTTCAACCGATAACGTGCACGAAGCTACAGGTTTGTATCCCCTGAAGAACGTCATGGAAATGCAACTCATGAAATTAGAGACTCATAGACTTCATTTCTTAATCACGGGGAGGGATCTTAGAGTTTAAACCTCTCCAGTTGAGTTGAATAGATAAGGAGAGGAAGTGGCTTGCTAAGGATCCAGTCAGAACGGGGGATGTGATTTCCTATTGAGGCCAATATTTGTGGGTTTCCTCTAACTTTTAAATAAACAAGATGCTTTGAGGGGCCCCTGGGTGGCTCAGTTGGTTAAGCGTCCGACTCCGGCTCAGGTCATGATCTCATGACTTGTGGGTTCGAGCCCCACGTCGGGCTCTGTGCTGACAGCTCGGAGCCTGGAGCTCGCTTCGGATTCTATGTCTCCCTCTCCTCTCTGCCCCTCCCCTGCTCACACTGTGTCTATGTGTCAAAAATAAATAAACGTTGAAAAAAATTAAATAAACAAGATGCTTTGAAAAATTAGTAATGTTCAGTGTTGTTGTTGTTGTTTTAACTCACATTATCCTTATTTTTGGAAAAAAACCAGAGGCAGATTGTTGAACCAATTGTAACCAAAGTGGGGGACAGATACAAGTGGGTACTTCCTTCCCCAAACTCCCATAGTTCATTGCAAGGTGCCTTGGAATAATAGTTTTAATGACACGTTTAAGGTGACGTGTTTAAGGCGTGCATTCCCAGTTGTGTGGACAATCGAGTCATATACTTTTCTCTGAGTCAAGGTTAAGTCATCTGGAAAAAGGACCACCAATTCCTTGGGACTAGAGTAATCCTATAGAAATCTTTCTCCAAATAAGAATGACCAGAGGCTGACCAACTTGAGAGTGGTGCTAATCCTTCTTTGCAATCTTACGCCCCCTAACATGGGCTTCCCTCTGCCTTCACACAGAGCAGGCCTGTACACACGTGGCCAGGAACATCTTGCAGGTCCACATGCCCCCTCTTATCCCCGGGCCAACCTCTAATCCTTGTAACCACCCAGTTCTCCATCCCCATCCATTGCCCATATCCTCTCTCTAACCATGAGTGATGCTCACCTCTGATTTTCTGAAATGGTCAAAGTCAAGGAACCAGGCTTCCATTGTCCTCCTTTGGGCCCTCTGGCCACACTTTCTCTTGTCGAGGAGCTGGGAGTGTGTGTGTAGCAGGGTGGGGGTGGGGTGGGGTGCGGGGGCAGTTACAACCACCCACACCTAAAATCTGGGCTGGCCCCAAAGTGGAGAGCATACTTCAGGATAATCCTTCTTCCCCTTCCCAAACTTCCCCCAAACCTGCAAAGTATCTCCCACCAAGTTCTCAGGATGCCCCAAACTCCCGGCAGGAAGCATAGCATTCCTTCTGATTAGAGGGCTGATCTCTGAAAAGTCCTTGTTCCAACACAGTGGCTCATGAAATGGGGGGGGGGGGGGGGGGGGGGAACCTTGGACTTGAAGACAGCCCAGGGGAGAGACAGGGACAGAAAACTCGAGAGCCACAGAGCACTCGAGACACATTGGCCTCCTGGATAATTTTGCCTAAGGCCTAAATGGAGCAAATTTCCCACCATCCTGACCCACACAAGGCTTGTTCCACACTCTATGCCCCATCCTCTTCCTGTATCCCTCCCTTCACCCTGAATCCTAACCCAGATCCCCCACAAGCAGAGGACTTTTAGGAATCTTATATAAAGACCTAGGTCGAAATGAGGGGAACACAGCCAGGGATGAGTCCATACACACTACTCTTTTATTTCTGCATATGATACAATGATGCTTTCTGTCTTTATGAGATGATTACAGTTGTAATTCCTATTTGGGGCTGAATCACTGGCAAAGCAAGTACTTTTACACACATGATCTCATGTGTATCTTCATTGTGTGAATAGAGTCTGTCTTTGTGTTTTTGGCATTTATACAGTTTTACAGATGAGGACGCGGAGAGTCTCGGAGGCCCATGGTCACAGTGATTCAGTAAAGGACCTTAGATTTGGGGTTTGGGTCCGAGGCTCACATCCCAAGGGCCTTCTCAGACAATCTACTTTGGGATCTGTTCTCCTGGTTTTTCCAGACTCATGGGCCTCTTTGTCCCGTCACAGGGAGGCTTTACAAATGAAAGCTGTCAGGAGTTCAGCAAACCAGGCGATGTGTGGGCTGATGGGCCATAGGGAAGAGTCATGGGACGCCATTGGGCAGTGCCTGGTGTTGACCAGAAGGTATAATGTAAGCAAGTGTGGAAAGAAAAAACAGAAGTAGGAAAAAGCCAGAAATATGGTCTCCTATTCACTTACTCAACCAACCACAAACATTGCCGGGCGTTGAGGGAGGTTCTAGATCGGCCACACGTGGCTTCTGCCCTTGAGGAACTTCCATTCTGGCTGGGGTCATCTGAGGTCTGGGGCTGCCCTGGGCTTGGAGTTCCTATTCAGAGACCAGCAAGGCTCCTCCCTTCCGGGTTTTGTCCAAGAGAGTGGGGTGGTGGGAATGCTGTGAAGACATCTTCCCTAGGAACTACCGTGGATTTTTTGTGTTCCCGGAGCAGCAGAAGGTCCGCAGCCCTGTGTCCAGGGCAACTTTTATTGACTCTCGTGGGACAGGCCCACAAGAGTGCAGCTGTGGTTCAGTGGGCGGAGGGAGGGGACAGCAGGAGGTTGCGGCCAACAGAGTGTGCGGTCAAGGCGGCCACTAGCGTGCAGTGCTCCGGCTGATTTTTTTCAGCAGTGTTGCCCATAGGCTCCTTTTCTGATAGGGCGTCTTCCCATCACGTCTCTGTTTCTCTGCGCCTCTTGCCTCGGTTTCCCAAGGAACTAAATTAAGAGAAGACGCTCTACTCTCTACCCTTGGAGATGACGAAACATCACGAGAAACGTAAGGACGTGGACACGACTGCGTTTAGTGAAGTGCTCTCAGGGGTACGGCTGAATGCGTCGGAGGAAATGCTTAGACGAACATCTTTGGAGGTGAAGGGAAGGGATGGGATGGGTGAGGAGCAAACGAGGCGAGCGTCTGTGGTGACGACCCCCCTCCCAACCTGCCTTCCAGGAAGAGTGGCGTTAAGACCGCACTGCGTTGGTTTGGGGGGTTGCGAGCTGGAATCGTCTCCCCTTCTCCCAGGGCTCAGCCTGCCCTCTGAATAAAAGTCAAACAAAACTTTAATAATACTAGTTTGAAGGGGGTGCTGAACGACTACCCCGATCAGAAGCCCGAAGGCTTAACTCTGAGCCACAACTACCTCATTACCTCTTTCCTTTTGCTGTTTCTTCTGTCCGTGGTGAGTGATGTCCCCACCTACTGGCTGGCAAGTCCATGAGAGCTTTATCCCTTCATGAGGGTCCGAGACTCAATGCGTTTGGTAACTGTGCAGAGGCGGGCTGCTGGTGAGACGGTCTGGCCCCTGCCTGACCGGACGGCTGTGCCGGCTGGTTTTGGAGGGGTTGGCTCCGCTCAGTCCTCGGTGACTGCCGGCTGAGACCGTCTGCAGGGCCAACGTGAGCACATCCTAAAATAAGCATAGTCAGAGTGCAATCTGGATGCTGAAAACCTGCAACTAGATGGGAGACGTGTTGCATATCATAGCTCCAGCTTCTTTCACGTGAGGTGGCCCCTGCATATTCGGCCCATGATTCTTTGGGGGAAGGAACGAATGGAGTAAGTGCCACCTTCTGCATGAAGCATTTACTTGGAGGATATAAAGATGATGAGATACCACTGCCTCCCTCCGAATGCCAAGAGCCCAGCTCCAAAGGTCCAGATAAGTAAACACCCACCTTGGCCAAGGCACCCAGGGTGAAGGTTCCTGCAACACCTCCTGCTCTCAGGATGGATATTGAGCTGACCCTTCAGATTCATCACTGTCACCAGGAATGTTCTCCACCTGCCTGGTGGGTGGCACCCGCCTTCCCTGGCCACGCCCGTTCCAAACCTGAGTCATCTTTGAGTCTTGCGCTTCCCCTCCCTCCACCCCCACGGCCCAGTCTTGCTGACTCTGCCCTTCCCCCATTCCCTCAGAGTTGTTCTTGCCCATGGTGGCTGCGTGTCCGTGGTTCCACCCCCAGATGACCTCGCTTCCTCAGCGTCCTTCTGTGGTGCATCTCTTTCCCCACCCAGTGTGCTCTGAATGGACCCCGGGGTGCTTCAAGACCCTCAGCGGCTCCTCATCTCTTGCAGATAGAGCCCCAACACCTCAGGAAGTCTTTCCGGGCCCCTGCAAGTTGGCACCAAGGAACTTTCCCAAACTTCCTGCGGGCAGGAACCTGGTCTTCCGACCTGCTAGGCATGGGCCCTGGTGTTCCATCACTGTGTATGAGTGGGAGCAAAGAATGACAGGTGTCACTATTCTTCCAATGTATGTATTTTGGGGGGCACGTGCCTCTTGCCCCAGGAGGCTAGTTTACAGATATTAACCTTTCTTCCCTAGTCTACACTCTCAGAGCACCACGCTTATTCGTCTCTGTGGCAATGGCTGTCACGTGACCTTGCTTTTTGGTTAGCAGCACACATGCCTGCCTCCTACACTGTCCCATAGCTTCACATCCCCAGGACGTACATGAAAGCCACCTTCTAACCTTTCCATACAACAAACCTGGTCCCGATCTGTAAACCTGATTTAGTTCTGGAGCGGGGCCTTTGGAAAAGCTCCCCAGGTGATTCTGGCGTGCACCCCAGTTAGGTACATTCGGCTGTAACTCCTTGAATTCCAGAGTCTTCCACAGTCCCCAGAGTGGGACTTTGCACACGGGAAGCATGGAATATATGCTTGTTGAATAAAGTAGCCACTAATAACAGCCCCCGGCTGGAGCTTAGAGAGCATGTGAAGCCTTCTCCACTTCACCTCCGGCTACAGGTTCCATGATGTATTTGCACTTGGGTGGCCAGGCTTGGAGGCGTTTTACTTGGCTGGGGAAGACTGAAGGTCCAATTTTAAGAATTAGGCCAGTAGCACCTGCTGGAAAGGACTGAGTCTCGGACCTTCATGAAGTCTTGGAAGATCCTCCTTTCTGGGACTCCTTCCAAGTCTCAGAGCCTTCTGAACGAAGCGATGTCTAAGCCAATGAATTAATAAAGGCAAGAGTGATGAAGTCAGAATTCAAGGCTTGTTTTTGTGGATGGCAGTATAACATTTCCAGCTGGGAGCCACTTTCTGCAGAAGGGGCGACAAGTGGGACCTGCTGGTGGAAAGGTACTGCTTTGGCCCCCAGCCCCATGGCCTTGGCATTCCTTCCTGCACCACCGAACTCCCTTTCAAAAGAAGGAGGCGCCCTCATAGTTGAAGGTGCCCAGGGTGTGAGGGGGGATGCTGGACGCCTGCTGCCGACAGAGCCAGAAGTGCCGGAGCAGACTTTTGAGATGCCTGCGGAACTTGACCCCGACAAAGACGTAGAGCACCGGGTTGAAGCAGCAGTGGGAGAAGGCAACGTTGCGGCAGATGAGCAAGGCGTAATCCAGCTGCTGGATGAACTCGCAGCTCTGGATGACCCTGAGTTTCAGCAGTGTCTGCAGAAACAGGATCAGGTTGTAGGGAGCCCAGCTGAGGAAGTACACCACCACGATGGTGAAGATGAGCCGGACCGTCCGGTGGTGCCGTTTGGACCGCGAGCGGAACAGGGTCCTGAGAATCTCCACGTAGCAGAACAGGATGATCCCGACGGAGAGCAGGAAGATGATGTTGTGCTGGTAGACCGAGGCTATGAACCATCTGACTTCCGAATAGTTGCAGCCCGAAGGAAACACCTTGTGGAAGATGGCATCGATGATTGAGGACAGGATGCTGGTCGCCCACACGGCCGCGGTCACCAGCACGCGGCACTGGAGGGTGTGGACGCGCATGGACGAGAGGGGCCTCACCACCGACATGTAGCGGTGGACAGTCATGATGGTCAAGAAGAAGATGCTGCTGTAGAGGCTGATGGAGAAGATCATGTTGAGGAGCTTGCAGAGGAAGTCCCCCAGCACCCAGCCCCAGTGGTACCCCAGGATCCACACCGGCAGCAAGAAGGAGAAGGCCATGTCTGAGAGGCACAGGTTGAGGATAAAGACGTTGGTGAGGGACTCCAGGCTCTCGAACTTCACCAGGACCCACAACACCAGGCTGTTGCCCACCAGGCTGAGGAGAAACACCAGGAAGTACAGGATTGTGGTGCTGAGGGTAGCAAAGGCGAAGTGCTTGCTCTCACACAGAAAGCTCTGATCGTCATAGTCAAAAGGAGTGGTGGACTCTGGGATGCCTGAGGGCTCCATCTAGACATGGAGAGCATCTGAAATGAAAGACATGAGGAGTTTCAAGCCACATGGTTAGGCTAGGGTCGATAGGACCCACGTTATAAAAAAAAGTGTGGTCCAGGGGCGCCTGGGTGGCTCAGTCAGTTGAGCATCTGACTTC